TTTTCTGAATAATTCACCGTCTGGTGAACTATTTCTACACCTTCTACTTCGTTTATGTGATTGTAACCCCTCCATTCGTCTGTCAAAACCGTACTTCCGGAATTAACGAATTTTCAAATTATCCAATTCAATGTCTCTTCGCTCCTATCGTTAACTTTACAAACAAAGCATATGTTATCCTCACGACACACTCCGCCGACTACTCAATCTTGTGCCCTTCAATTTGCGACCCCTGTCGTATTTTCGTCTAGATATTACGATTTCGTCAATTTCCACGGTTTTGTTCTGTCCTCCTATTTTAAATGACGATACGTTATTCACGGCTATCATCATAACTAAACATACATAGTTTGCCCAATTAATAGAAGTGTGATTACTAATACTACAAGCCAGGGCTGCATTTTAAACGTACAGTACATAGTTTGCCCAATTAATAGAAGTGTGATTACTAATAGTACAAGCCAGGGCTGCATTTGTTAGCGCGCATTCTACGCACAGCAAGTCCATATGAAGGAAAATATGTTGCCCCAAGAAATATGCCCACACTTACCCTTAAAAGTACCAACAAATGCGGAACCATTTTTTTTACAATAGGCGCATCTCATCGCTACGGATTTCCTGTCAGCACGGTACACTAATTTACACAGACGGGAACAATTAGTACATACATCTTCGACATGCTGTAAACCAAGTTTTACAGCTAGTTTCACATCCGACGAAATTCTCTTATCCAGCCCTAAATCGTTATATTCATTTTCAAATAACCTGAAGAACATTCGTGAATCACACTTACTTCAAAATTCTTCAGAAAAAAATATCTTCAGACGNAGTAGTTTACCAAATAATATACTAAAATAATGAATTAATAGAAATACATAATTGTTAACTAGCTAGGTAATTGGTTTTCCATTTATTATGTAAAATAGATGATATATTAAATAATGTCTTGATTTATTTATAACTAAAATCTGATTTAAATTCCTAATATAAGCTTTATAGCTTTTCTTTATATATATAAAAAGCTAACTGATCATTAATTTTGTACCATTAAATAGTTCCCCTCAATTATTCATCTGATTTAATAAGTTTTTTAATCTTGATTTTTAATGAAAAATATATAAATATTTTTCATTAAAATATTTTTATTTCTAAAGTTGTTTTCTACTTCTATTTTATTTCTAAACTAAAAATATTTTTGTTTCTAAACTTATTGAATATTTTCTTTTATACTATCATCTCATTGTTATTTACTTCACGATTATTTTAAAAAACATGATCAAGTTTTCTTTTTGAAAATATTTGTAATTTAAAATAATAATTTATACTTACAAATAACAGAAAATTATTTAAAATTTATTATTTCCTTATGTAGGTGTTAAGTTTTACATATACATCTTGAAATTTATAACAAATAATTATTTAAAAGTATTAAAAAAAAACAAGCAAAATCAAGTTCAGCTTAGTTTTTTGAAAAATTAATATTCTTTTTATATTAAAATAGAACTAAAAAAATTAAAACTATGCAGAAAACAAATTCTTGATATAAAATTTTGTATACAAAGAATATTTATATTATGTCTCATATACAATACCAGGAATATTATTATTTGAGATTATATACTGAATTTCCATACAAATACAGTACATTGAGAGCTTATACTTATATTTTAATGTTTTAATTGATACACATAAAAAGTTACATTTATATATTATTTAATGAAATATGTATAATTTATTTTGTGATGGAAATTGATTTAGTAAAGAGAGGTTTAATGAATACAAAAACAGAATTTTTTGAAAAATAAGAATACATTAATTGTATACTCGAAAGGAATAAATTTTTTTGTTTAATCTGGCAGTTGATAGTAAATATGTAATTTTAACTGGTATGACACACACATTCAACAGTCATCTTACATCAGATACTAAGATATCAAATGTTTTTAAATGCTAAACTAAGTATTTAAGTTATCAATGTACTATATTACAATATATTGAATATGAAATATTTTAAATATATTTTTTATTAATATTTAGTTTATGCATTTATTTCTAAAAAAATATTTGTTGCAATAAAAAAGTGAAAAAAAATCTCTAGAATGTCTTTATTAAAATCTCTGAAAAAACTTTTTAGAGATGAAAAAACTGTCAAATATTTTAATTTTATTTTTAGACTTATATCTAATTAACAGATACAAATCTTAATCATGTACAACCATTTCCATTAACAGTTTTTTTTGCCTAGTATCATTAAGTGATAGCTCTTACACAGTATGGTGTATTGTCACGCATCTTTTCTTTTTCACATTAAATTTGCATCAGACTATAATTTTGTTCATAACCTATTTTCTGGAATGTCATATTTGCTATTTTTGTATTACAAAAATATCTGCAAAGGTTAACTTTGATTTTTCTTCAGTATTTAGTATTTACCCATAAATATGATTATGTAAAATTTTAATTAGTTTTTTGTTAATGACGAAAAAACCTAATTAGAAGTTATGTAATTTTATTGATTAATTATGTAAGATATTTTCTGAAATATCTTATTCTATTTATTTGTTTGTTTGTTTACAGTTTAATTATTATTTATTTATTTATAGTTATTAAATACTAACTTTTATTATCATTTATAAAAATATTTTTAACCAAATTATCTATATATAAATTGTTAAAAAACAGAATTGGCTTACTTAGTTCTGCATAGAGTTAAATATTACATAATATACAGTAAATGATATAAAAATAATAAAATATTTTTATTATTTTATTAATGTGCAATGCTGCATTAATTATTGCTTTTGGTAATTTGTTTTTAAAAAAATATATTTTTATTTTTCATATTAATTTTAACAATTTAATGTATTCATACAATATTTAATAATCTGAAAGAAGTTTGCACTAATATAAAATGAAAATATTATTAAAAAATATAAATTTACTAATAAAATATATCTACAATTATTTAAAGTTTTATAGAAACAGTGATTACTATATCCATATGATGTAGTAATCACTTACTGTATTTTTTTATGTAGTATCACTAGTATTTTTTTATTTTGAAATTTTTTATATTTTAATATAAATAGGATTATGATTAATAAGTAAAATTTTGATATAATTAATGATGATTAAATAAATAAGATTTTATAGTGGTTGAGTACTATGATAAATATTTTGTATATATGAAAATATATAAACAAAAATTTTAAATCAATATATTGAAAAACTGTTTTACTCATAATGTGATAAAATATTAAATCAATAATATATCATATTTACTGTAAGAACAGAATATTTATTATTATTATTATTATTATTAAACAGGGATACAGACACAAATATTGTACCAGGCTCTGTCTTTCTTCTCTTAGTAACTAAGTGTAATTGTTTTGAATGTTCTGTACATTATAACATATTTAGTGTAAAAAAAACATTTAAATTTTTCTACCATAATATGAAATTTTATAATTTTTTAAACTCTGGGAACAGAACTCCCTTTATAACATGAAACTTATTATCCAACTTTCCTATGCATTTTTTAGGAATGTATTCCATTTAAAGAATTGTTATTTGAAAAAGATTTCTGTCAAATATTTTAATTTTATTTTTTAGACTTATATCTAATTAACAGATACAAAACATGTCATCCTGAAAATATTAATAAACATTAACTCATTCTATTACACTCTATTATACTATAGCAAATTAGTATCACAGATATCAAATTGTCTAAAAGTTCATAAAGATAAACATAAAACAGTTATAAATATTTACTTCATATAAAAATGTGAGTGCTTATGTGAAATATAGAAATTAAACATTGTTTTTTGCATTACGCTAACTTAAATGTAAGAATCTTAAAAATATACAATAAGAAATGTGGTATTTTTTAAAATATTATGAATTTTTTTGAATATCATTTATATTAACATTGATATACAAAATATTAATTATTATTTTCTATATTATTGTTAGTTTATGATGAAGATGAAGATGCCTAGTTTTTCCTTCTTTTAAATTCTAGGTGTTACTATAAAAATGTTGATTAACCTGATCTTTAAGATTAACATCAAATGATTGTCAGATTATATCAGGCTAATATAGCATTAGTATAGCTTGGTATAATGCAGTAATTATTTGGTGTTACTATATAATGATGTGATCACATTCATAATCTATAACAAAAAAATTAACAAATATAATTACAATATTTTACATGTATTTTACATTTTTATTCTAGTAGTCAATTTTTATTGTTGTGTTAATAAAAATAATTTATTTTTGAATTTTGGCTTTTGACTGTAAATATTTATTATTGTGATGCTTAAAAATAGCATATTAATTTTGACCTAGAAACTAACAGTTATTGATTCAATATATGTTACATTATCAAAAAATTTTGTTATTTAAAGTTAAATTATCTTCATAAAATATAGAAAACATTTTTTAAATATCTTAATCAAAGAATGTTTTTATAATACTGTATATTGAAATAAATAACTTGATGATAATTCTAAAAATAAGAGACAAATTTGCAGTAAAAACTTTATAAGTAAATGGTAATTACTCCTATTATCCAAAATCTTTTAAACTTAGAAACCTTGGTTGGACAACAAAATTTTTTTATTTAAAAATTTGCACAGTCAGTATTTTGTATCTGCATAAATACCCAATGATTTATACTAAATGATATAAAAATTTACTTAGCTAAGTAGATAAAAGTGGCATTATCAGAGGAAATTGTCGGAAATAAATTTAGATATCAATTGTGCATAATCATCATCATATGCTCACTTATTTATAAAAATTAAAAGTTTTTGATTTAAATTGAAAAATTAATATATTTTATTTAAAAACATTATATTTATACTGTATATTTAAATTTTCTAATAGTTTGTATAAAATATACATAATTTTTTAATAACAAGTCTCATTCTGTTGAAAGCTTTGTTGTTATCATTTTGTTATAATTAATATTTTCTTAAAGTGTTCATTTTAACTTTTAAATTGGAATATGTAGTTCAATTAAAGATTAAAATATCATGTTATTTTTCTCTAGATTAGTGGAACGATTCTTGATGGATGGCTAGTATCCTTTTATTGCTTTCTCTGTTTTAACTTCTTATATTTCAATGCTATATTTAAACTTTAGAATAATTTATATGCTATTTAATATGTTGTTGTATGCTTTACATGTTTTAATATGTTACATACTATTTAATTTGTTGCAATATTTAATCATGTCTAACTAGTAGTAACCTGTGTTTATTTTTTATTTTAAAAATTATTATTTTTTAATCTTGTTAAAATTTCAAAAAAAATTTTTGCATTTCTTTTTAACTTTCTAGAAAATTTTTTAATTGTAAAAAATCTTTTGGAAATATATGCATCATAACATATCAAGTAAATTAATTATTTATTATTTATAAATAAGTCAACCTTTTTATAATTCTTACATATGAATCTAGTAAACCACATGAATTATCTACTTATGCACTTACACTTTTTAGACATAAGACAACACATGAAGATGAATCACTTATGATTGGTGGGTATTTTAAAAAGTTATCAAACCATCCAACAAATCCTATTTTAAAATATATGTATCAATTTCCGTTTCAGATTTTTGGGATACGGCTGGACAGGAAAGATTCAGTAGCATGCATCCATCTTATTATCACCAAGCTCATGCTTGCATATTTGTATGAATTTTGATACATTATTTACCATACATTTGATAATTTCTTTAATATTTAATATTTTATATAAATTGCTTTAGCAATTTTAATTTGCAATTTCAAATTTTCAAAGAAAAAATAAATGATTGTCTCTTAGTTATGTTTAATTATTTTTTTACTGATATTATCAGTAAAGAAATTTTTTAAGAAACTTGAATATAATAAAAAATTTATTGTATTTCATACAATCATACGTAAAGTCAATGAACATTCAATTAAATACTAATAATAAACTAATTGCTTTGTTATCAATTCAAGGAAGTCAAATCTTAACAAAAACAAGCATTTAGGAAATCAAACTTCCTTAGTTTCTTATGAAAATTTAGATCTTTAAATAATTATAAATGATCATCATAATATTTGTTATAAGTATAGAATAATGCATGTTTATTTTTATAAATTTTTAAAAAATGTATATTTAATTAAAATTCTACATTTCAGTTTAAGATAAATAGTTTGTGTATTACTACAAACTTACAAACTTGTTGATCTTAAAATGGGGATTATTTAACACATTTCAAAAACTTTGTTTTTTCATAAATATAAAAGTGACTATTGAGTGTGTAGAGTGTAATTATTATTATTATTAATAATAATAATTATAAGATGATATGGAGGATGGATAAGGTATTTATTGTACCTGTTGTCCTCTATTCTATCAATACTATTATTATACCACATACACTATACAAAAGTCTAGAAACATTAAACCTTAATAAAAACATATACATGGCACTACAGAAGGCTGCAACATTGAACACATGTCACATTGTTAGAAAGTTTCTAGATGTTGACACACATACCAATAACAGCTTTGTTACACTTCTTTGGGTAGCTATGCCTTGACTTTAATCTGGCATAGCATTTGACACCAGTATCAGCTGAGCATGATATTTGTAACATAATAATAATAATATATTCTGAATTGTAAAAATAATGAAAAGTATTTGATTTTAACCCTTGGTGAACGCGCCAGCGGCAAATTGCCGCAAAATAAAAATAAAGTCTTTTGTTTGACGTTGTACTTAATTATTGCAGAAGTACATCATAGTATTCTCTTTTCATATTACATGATACAACATGTTTATGAAATTGGGCAGTTATACTAACCGTTTAGTTGTTACTGGACTTTGAATCAAGTCGTACCTCATTTGAGTTGTAACTGCCGCTACACGCCCTGCCATGTAACTAAAATATCCATATACTTTTATATTTATATATTTAACTTATTTAATAAAGTAGGTCAATATTTGCAAGTTTATTGAATAAATATATTAAATTAACACTGTCGTAAGTTTCTATAAATTTTTAAATTTATATTAGTCTATATTTTTGGAAAAATATAAGGGAAATGAAGAGCCATTCAAAGTAGCAGCAAAAACCTAGAATTTGTTTTATTTGTAGCATACACAAAAACAATAGGAAAAAATTGATTTGTCATGAATGAGTAGAAATGTTTGCAAAAAGCATAGTAATATAGTTATTATATGTGCCATTGTGAAGGTGAACATCACATGGATATATAGTAACTTTTTTTTTTATTATCTAAATATTTTATAACCAATTTGTTCATTAAAATGTCGTAAAATTAATTTTCTGGTATTTCTGATTCATATTTTTAAAACAATAATTAATTATTGACTAAAATCAAGTAATATTACATATGTAGTGTAATTGCTGCAATGCGCCCTCTCGTGAGTTCCTGAAAAGTGCATTTACCAAAGGGTTAATATATATGTAAAATCTGAATTTATAATTAATTAATTATGTATGTACATATGAAAATAAGTAAGTTTATGTTAATCTGATTAGAATATCTTCTGAAATAGGTATTTGATGTTACCCGAAAAATAACATATAAAAATTTGTCAAATTGGTATAAAGAATTAAGAGAATATAGACCAGAAATTCCTTGTTTATGTGCTGCAAATAAAATTGATGGTGAGTGATTTTCAATTTATTATTAAATCATATATATTATTTTTTATATAGGATAGTTATTTGCATCTAAGTAGAAAATAACATTGTAAATATGAAATCCAAATTGTTGAAAAGCATGGTTAAAATTAAATATGACATTTAAAATTAGCAAAGTTATTCTTACATACAAAACTATATTCATTCTTTTTATTTCATATTCTTTTAGTCACTGGTTATAATTTTAAAGTTTATCACATATTATGAAACATAATAAATATTTTGTGTTATTTACAGTTTTATAAATACAGTTGATTCCTGTTATTAGCCCAGTTGGTTAGTAGGACATGTTATGTATTAGAATAAAACATTCAAGAATGGAATACTATAATGCAAGCATAATTTACTTTGCCTACTGGCCTTGAAATGCTGCTTAGTGGCCCTGCTGGCACAGTATTTTTCTTGGAAAACTAAACAAAAGAGACAAGAGTTTAGATATTTTCAGCTTTTCCATACGCGACCTCTGTCCGGTTTCCTCTATCAGCTGTCTATCTTTTCTAGATTGTACTGTAATGATTTTCTTTTGTACAGAAATAATTTCTCATCATTAAAATGGTTTTATTGCACTCAGATGTTTGTTTTATTGATGAAAATGCATTGACATAACTCTTTAACATAACTTGTTATATTGCCTCTCAATTGCATAACTTAGTGGGATGTTTATTTTGTACTGAAAAGCTCAGGTTCTGATGCTGTGCTATTAAGTGGAATTGATTGTATATGTTTATATATATTATTGTCATTCTGGTTTTAAAATATTTTACATTTATATTAGTCCAGAACATTTTTTAATAAATCAATAATTTTTTGTATTGTAGAAAATCATTTGAAATTTTAAAAAATTTCATTAGTTTTATTTGGAAAATTATTTTCATGAGTTTTCAAATTATATTATATAAATGAATTTTGCAAATTGAATGAAATTAGAAATGATTTGAAACTTGTTAACATTTTAATTTCTAAGAAAAGATCTTAACACATGAAAATCTTCATGAACTGTCAAAATTTAATGTTATATTAATAAAAAGTTTTCATAGGTGACTCTTAATATTATAAGATAAGAAACTCTGACTTTATAAATATTTTTTTAAGTATTTAAAAAAAAATCTAATAAAAATTAAATTTTACTCTATAAATCAACAATATACTTATGAAATTCAGAATTTACCTTTATACAGTCGGCTCCCCTATAACACGGTAGATACATTCCGAGTTTTATGAGTCCAGCCAATCACAGCCCAGCACATATGCAGTTTACGGACTACGGCTGTTTGAAAGGTTTCTTCCATAAAATTAATCGATTCTAGACTAATTCGACTCAACATTTCCAAAATACGTATAATTTTTTGGGAATAATCCATATAAACTATGCTACAAACAAAAAATTGTAGGATTACTTAACGAGTGTTCACCATTCGACTACGCTGTTGCTTAAGCTTGGTTTTGTTGTAGAGATTGTCATCGAATGGCGCTTGCGTGCTTCCTGATAAATTATTTTTTTTTTTTAAATTCGCTGAACTGTGGAGACATCATTAATATAAATATAATTTTTATGGACGTTAAATAATAAATGGTTTTTAGTAGGTCCGCTGCTTGTTTAAACTCAATGGTTTGTCCAATCCTGTCGCGACACGAGTCAGCGATGACGTTTTACTGAATTATAGGAAATTTTTTAGCATGTTTGTATGAATACTGTTGCAATTTTTCCGCTGTGATATAGGAATCCGAACTATAGGAACTTGTGCTATAGAGGAGTCGACTGTAATACAGTGAAACTATAGTTTATGAATGTACATTATTCCTGAAAAGTATTGTAAATCAAAATTTCATAGATAGAAATGGAGACATCTTTCCATATTTTTTCATGATCAAAATTTGTATCTTGTTATATCATAACCCAATCATTTTACTAATGTTCTCCAAATAACATTGGCTGAAAATGTTTTACAGCACTTTAATGATTCAAAATAAAATAAAATAGATAAAATAAGAGTTGATTGTGTCATTTGACACAAAAGGAGCTAATATGACATGAGAAAAGCAAATTTGTCATAAGAGAAGTAAACATACAAATTAGCACACATTTCTTTATTTAATGTTAAGAAAACAATAGTTATTGAAGACAATAAATAAGCAGAAAACAAGTATAATAGTAAATAAAATAAAACTGTATTTTAATTAGTGAAATTGTAATTGTAATATAGAGATGAAATTCATTAACTGTACAACCACATCAGTAAAAATATAATGTAACATGAAGATATAATATGAATGAAACAATGGAAGTTTAGACTGAAACCTATGAGCATCTAATTGTATCATGTGCGAATTCAATCTCATCACTATTGTGATAGAAATATTTGGTTCTTATAAATATCTTTTGGTGCTCATTGTATTGAATATTTCAGATTTCAGTTCTTAAATTGGGAAGAGATATAAAAAACAAACTTGTATTGAATTTTTATATATTAATTACTAATAAATTGGGGCCATACCATATATATATATATATATATAGAACCGTTACTTAAATTTGAATTCATTTAAAGGAAACAGCATATTATGTTCATTTAAATGCTGTTATTTTAAAACTCATAACAATCTCTAAAAGCTTTAATTCATAAAAAACTATTTTAATAGCAAAATCACTTTATTATTAGGGATCATAACCATTAAATATTGTACACCCAAAAAATTTTTTGTTTATAAATGTTGTTACTGTATCTACTTAAATGTAAGATGCACTTTTTTCAGGTTGTAGTATTTCTGAAAATAGGATATGTCTTAGATTCACTGGCATCTTAGATTTGATGTAATTCATCATAATGTTCATAATGTCTAGTGCAGGCACAAGTAAGAAGTCAATTGCTGTCCATTTCTGGACCATGAGCAAATTTTTGGGTGATTACCTGTAAGATTTCAAATTCTGGCAATGTTCTTTACATTGCCAGATTTTGAAACATTAATGATTTACATTATAAGCATAGTACATTCATTAATTAATAAACATCAAGCTTAAGAATGGAAAATGATTGGGAAATCTAGAATTAGTCTTTTGAAAGAAATGTAAAAATCTCCATTTATATGTGACTACACATGCTTTTATTGCATTCTGTACAATAAGTTAATAGGGTGACTGTGTGACTTGGAATATATTATAGGTATCTCTTATCTTACAAAAGTATACTCATTCCTGCTTTAGTGCATTCATGAGCTCCTGCAGGTATTGAGACACTCACTTTAATTTCTCTCTTCTAATAATTTTACAAAAGAATGTGAAAATTTTATTGAATTGTTTAATGTTTTTGAATTTGGATAATGTTGAAATGTACATTGAATAACTGTCAAGAAGAGATAACTTATATACATAGATTGATTTAAAACAACAAGGGTTCTTAGATCAACAAACATCTGTGGTTGGGATTGAATTCAGCATCAAATTAATTGTTGACATCAACCTTTCTCATGACTCAAGGAGATCTCTAATTTTGCTTGGAAACAGATAAGGGACCAATTGAATTGTGAGGATGATTTTAAAAACCAATTGGAATATTAGATCAAAGAACCCAATCTACGTAGACCTGTTTTCAAGGACATGGACTCTGATTCTGTTTTCAGTCCTGCTTGCTGTATGTTGTCTTTGAATACTTCTCATTTTCTCCATTACCACTGATTCCTTCCAACTTTGCTAATAAACTTTGATGTATGTGTCTTCCTTACTGACAGACTTTTTTCAAGTCTTTTGTCAAACTTTACAGTGAATCATTTAGTTGCAGATCCTTTTCTTTTGATCAGTGATCAACTTTCCCTTTTGGACTTGGCACCAGAATTGAAAGACAATCAAGGAACTGTCATGACAATTTGTACAGTGTTGTATACTATGGGAATCTCTCTCTCTCTCAATATTACATGAAATAAAATTTTATTTTTTATTACACAAAAATTTGCTTTCCTTTATCCTGATTCCTTTATCCTGAGAATTTATGACTTCCTTCCAATCATATCATTCAGTCATGGCTTCTTTTGATCTCAAGTTCAAAGTTTAATTCTTTCATTTTTTGTTTCCTCAGCATGATGAAGTGCAATTGATTAGACACAATGCGGGTTTTTACATTCTTTATTTATTTATTGGTCAATATGTGTTTTTGGTCTCTGTACCCCTCTTTCATTTTGTTACCTAACTAATGGAAGTCATGTGATCTTGCATGTATTTCTCTGTTACTAGAAGTCATTAATTCTATTATGTCATTTTAATGATTTTATTAGACCAATATTTATATTAGAAAATATGTAAGACATCAACTTGGCTCTGTATTGTTAGTCTACTACAATAATGCTGTAAGTACTTGTATGAAAATGCTAGAAAAAGTTGTGCAGCACTCTTTCAAGAATTGTTATATTTCTGACACTTCAGACAGCACTGAAAGGGATTACATGTGAGATGATAGGAATATTGAATCCAGAGTTGATCAGAAGAACCTAAAGTGAATATGTTTCTAACTTCATTACCATGAAAGATAGTGATATATAGTTTACTTTCCCATGCAATAAATACTGAACAAGTTTACGTCAATAGAATTAGTTCTGTTTACAATTATCTCAAGTTGTTTCTTTTTCAAAAAAAAAAAAAATTATGGGTGAGCCTGTAGATATTTAGGTGTGTCTCAGATTTGATAGTGTCTTTACAGTACTTCATTTAAAAAATGATGATGATAGGTTATTAAACATTATGTATATAAATAATAATTAAACATTTCTCTAAGACAGTGTTTTTCAACCTGTGGGTCACATACCCCGAGGGGGCCGCGGGTAAAAGAAAAAGACAAGTGTTTGTAGGTGCTACACTACATTAAAAAAAACTACAATTTCAGCGAAAATTACAGTCCACACCAGAAAATGATAGCCGAAAAAACTGTTGTGCTGATTTGCAAAAAGAAATAAAAAGTGTAAAAGTAGAAGCTGAAAATTCTGATCCCTAAAAGAAAAAAAGGTCAATAGCTCCCCGTGCCCAACATTATAATTAAAGGAAGTTTCATACCTTATGTGTGTTAAGTTATTGTCGATTCTTCTGAAATTTTCATTTTAATCAACAACAATTTGTCTCAACAGAAAGAAAATTAAATACATAGTTTTTAAAAGCACTGATATAGTTTTAATATGGCCCTAGGGAGGTCGCCAGAATTTTTTAACTTGTAAAGGGGTTGCGTATTCAATAAGGTTGAAAAACACTGCTCTAAGATATCTGAAAACCTCAAGATTTTTCAAATAAAATCGTTTTAAATGATTTTATTATTTCTCTATAACTTGATGATTTCTATGGAATATTTGTATTTAAAATTTAGGTTTTGCAAATCATTGGAATGATATATAAAATTCTAATTTTGATAGATCATTCTAGTGTGAAAAATATCTGATATCAATTTCTGTATTTTATTCTGTGATATTCTAAGTAAATGCGATTGGTATTAAATTATTTAAAAATTTTTAATTTAATAAATTAAACAAAATAAATAGGTATTACATTAATTGAACATTTGAAAATTAAAAAATATATAATAATGAAAAAAAATGATGCTATTAACATGTACAAAAAGTATACAGAAATTTTAAGATAAATTAATCAAATGTTTTATTGCATAATTTTCACATAAAATTTTTGAAAGTATTATTTTTTGCAAATGGAATGTGAAAAGAAAAAAACCACCATATGTAATTAACATTGCATTATACATTATAATTATTTATTCTGCTGCAATTTGAAAAAAATTGTAAACCTATAAATTTCCACTGCCATCCGTTGTCTATCTTTCCATAATCTTTAGAACAGAGTTAGATAGATGAGAGGTGAGATCAGATATGGAAACCTTGGGGACAGGAGACCCCAATTAATTAATTAACTATATATGAACTGGAAGTCATGTTATTTCAATTCAAAAATTTTCCCTGAAAGGTGTTAGATAAACGACTCTATTATTAAAGGAAAAGTATGATGTATAGGTGCAAGACACTACAGTACTAATTTGAGGTGGTGAGCATATATTTTAAATTAAATTAATTAAAAATATGATTAAAATTGCAGCCTGACATTGTTATCATGTTACAATAAATAATTGCTTGTTTACTTTATAATTTCTCATCTACATTATAATTTCTTACTTTTAAATTTGTTTGTTTTTTTCAGTTTAAAAAGAATCTTTTTATAAAATTTCATTAACTGTTTAATGAGAAAATAGAAACAGTTTTATAAAATATTTCATTATAATTGATTTTGAATGAAAAACAAAAAAATTTATTCATGCTTGATCCTTAACCAGGTATACTATGAAGTGCTTGCTGGAAAATTATCTTTTAGAAACATTATAGTTGTTAAATGAAAAATCATAGTTAAATAATAACAAATAAATGTTTGTTACCTTGTAAGGCTATTTCCTAAGCATGCATTTCACATGTGAGGAAAATATTAAGCAGAAATAGTGTTATATTTTCAATTTAGAATTTTATTTTGTGGTTTTTAATGAAACTGTTTATTTTTACACTGGATAGATAATAATAACTTTCTAATTGGAAAAAATTAAGTTTTAGTGGAAGAATTTAAAAGTTGGAAATCATAATATTGTAATCATTATATGAGAAAAAAACTAATTAAATTATCTTAATAATATCATTTTTATAAAGAAATGGTATTTATGAGTACTGATTATTATATAGGGAGTGAGTTGGATATTTAGATATACTTTAAAAGTAAATATAATTCAATAAGATAAGATTTTTCCAGAACAAATATATTGGTTAAGTGAATAAAAATTGGTTATTTTTTTTTAAAGTTTTAAATTGAAAGCATTTTCTTAAGATCAGATAAAAAGATATGTAATAAGTATTTATCAGCCATAAAACAATCAAAGTTCATGTATATTTTTTTTATAAAATTAAAAAATAGACTAATATAGAAAATTATTAAATTTTTTATTGAAGTGACTACTTACTCTCTCATTTTTTATTGCTTACCAAATTTATTGTTATTTTTTATGTTGCTATTTGAAATTGTTTCTATTTATGTTTTGATCTGAATACTGTATATACAAATTGAATTTAATATTTTTGCAGTTGATTATGATATTACAAAGAAAAGTTTTCAGTTTCCAAAGAAATATGGAATGCCATTTTACTTTGTTTCAGCCTCTGATGGTACAAATGTTGTCAAAGTAAGTACTTTATTATCTAAATGTGTTTGATTCTATTTACATATTGACAATCACATCTGATTTTTAAGAATTTTTTTATTCTTCATGTCTATATGATTGCCAGTTGAACTCATCTATATTTATAAGAAAATTTATTCTACTAGCATTTACAATCCTGTTTAAAAAACTGCCTATTGATTTTAAATGGAAATTTAGAACCAGTAATTTTTCAATGAGATTGTTAAATGAAAATATAGTAGTTTTGATTAATTTCAATTTAAAATGTTACTGATAAATATTGAATTGTATGTTTTATCAAATGTCATACAGTTAGAGATTAGAATTAATTTTATTTTCTGATTTTGTATGTAGCATTAAAAAATAAAGAAAGATATATAAGTTTTTATTTATTTAATTATTCACTTAGAAACTGTATAATAAAACTTGTTTTGTAAGAGATTTTATTGATTTTTATTGTTTTTCAATAGGAAAGAATATTGTGTGTATGTACATATATGTATAATACATATGTATTATTATTATGAATTAAAGTAGTAACTTACAAAATTATATGAATACACTTCTCTGTCTCTGCTTTCTTGGAGATCAAAAATGAAAAATATCCCAGACTGCTTCAAGTAAGATATTTTTTTATTTTTTGTCTTCAAGAAAGTGGAGATAGAGAAGTGTGTGTTAAGGTCATTGGAGATTAATTTGTATGCGTGTGTTTCATTTTTGTGACTTAGAAAATAAATTAATTTCAAATTATTAAATATTTGAGATGGATTTTTTGCATAATGAGGTTTGGTGCACAAGAAATAAATTTAATTTTTTGTTTTTGTATAATATAATATTATTTTTATTAATTTTGATATAATNTTATTATTTTCTATATTATTGTTAGTTTATGATGAAGATGAAGATGCCTAGTTTTTCCTTCTTTTAAATTCTAGGTGTTACTATAAAAATGTTGATTAACCTGATCTTTAAGATTAACATCAAATGATTGTCAGATTATATCAGGCTAATATAGCATTAGTATAGCTTGGTATAATGCAGTAATTATTTGGTGTTACTATATAATGATGTGATCACATTCATAATCTATAACAAAAAAATTAACAAATATAATTACAATATTTTACATGTATTTTACATTTTTATTCTAGTAGTCAATTTTTATTGTTGTGTTAATAAAAATAATTTATTTTTGAATTTTGGCTTTTGACTGTAAATATTTATTATTGTGATGCTTAAAAATAGCATATTAATTTTGACCTAGAAACTAACAGTTATTGATTCAATATATGTTACATTATCAAAAAATTTTGTTATTTAAAGTTAAATTATCTTCATAAAATATAGAAAACATTTTTTAAATATCTTAATCAAAGAATGTTTTTATAATACTGTATATTGAAATAAATAACTTGATGATAATTCTAAAAATAAGAGACAAATTTGCAGTAAAAACTTTATAAGTAAATGGTAATTACTCCTATTATCCAAAATCTTTTAAACTTAGAAACCTTGGTTGGACAACAAAATTTTTTTATTTAAAAATTTGCACAGTCAGTATTTTGTATCTGCATAAATACCCAATGATTTATACTAAATGATATAAAAATTTACTTAGCTAAGTAGATAAAAGTGGCATTATCAGAGGAAATTGTCGGAAATAAATTTAGATATCAATTGTGCATAATCATCATCATATGCTCACTTATTTATAAAAATTAAAAGTTTTTGATTTAAATTGAAAAATTAATATATTTTATTTAAAAACATTATATTTATACTGTATATTTAAATTTTCTAATAGTTTGTATAAAATATACATAATTTTTTAATAACAAGTCTCATTCTGTTGAAAGCTTTGTTGTTATCATTTTGTTATAATTAATATTTTCTTAAAGTGTTCATTTTAACTTTTAAATTGGAATATGTAGTTCAATTAAAGATTAAAATATCATGTTATTTTTCTCTAGATTAGTGGAACGATTCTTGATGGATGGCTAGTATCCTTTTATTGCTTTCTCTGTTTTAACTTCTTATATTTCAATGCTATATTTAAACTTTAGAATAATTTATATGCTATTTAATATGTTGTTGTATGCTTTACATGTTTTAATATGTTACATACTATTTAATTTGTTGCAATATTTAATCATGTCTAACTAGTAGTAACCTGTGTTTATTTTTTATTTTAAAAATTATTATTTTTTAATCTTGTTAAAATTTCAAAAAAAATTTTTGCATTTCTTTTTAACTTTCTAGAAAATTTTTTAATTGTAAAAAATCTTTTGGAAATATATGCATCATAACATATCAAGTAAATTAATTATTTATTATTTATAAATAAGTCAACCTTTTTATAATTCTTACATATGAATCTAGTAAACCACATGAATTATCTACTTATGCACTTACACTTTTTAGACATAAGACAACACATGAAGATGAATCACTTATGATTGGTGGGTATTTTAAAAAGTTATCAAACCATCCAACAAATCCTATTTTAAAATATATGTATCAATTTCCGTTTCAGATTTTTGGGATACGGCTGGACAGGAAAGATTCAGTAGCATGCATCCATCTTATTATCACCAAGCTCATGCTTGCATATTTGTATGAATTTTGATACATTATTTACCATACATTTGATAATTTCTTTAATATTTAATATTTTATATAAATTGCTTTAGCAATTTTAATTTGCAATTTCAAATTTTCAAAGAAAAAATAAATGATTGTCTCTTAGTTATGTTTAATTATTTTTTTACTGATATTATCAGTAAAGAAATTTTTTAAGAAACTTGAATATAATAAAAAATTTATTGTATTTCATACAATCATACGTAAAGTCAATGAACATTCAATTAAATACTAATAATAAACTAATTGCTTTGTTATCAATTCAAGGAAGTCAAATCTTAACAAAAACAAGCATTTAGGAAATCAAACTTCCTTAGTTTCTTATGAAAATTTAGATCTTTAAATAATTATAAATGATCATCATAATATTTGTTATAAGTATAAAATAATGCATGTTTATTTTTATAAATTTTTAAAAAATGTATATTTAATTAAAATTCTACATTTCAGTTTAAGATAAATAGTTTGTGTATTACTACAAACTTACAAACTTGTTGATCTTAAAATGGGGATTATTTAACACATTTCAAAAACTTTGTTTTTTCATAAATATAAAAGTGACTATTGAGTGTGTAGAGTGTAATTATTATTATTATTAATAATAATAATTATAAGATGATATGGAGGATGGATAAGGTATTTATTGTACCTGTTGTCCTCTATTCTATCAATACTATTATTATACCACATACACTATACAAAAGTCTAGAAACATTAAACCTTAATAAAAACATATACATGGCACTACAGAAGGCTGCAACATTGAACACATGTCACATTGTTAGAAAGTTTCTAGATGTTGACACACATACCAATAACAGCTTTGTTACACTTCTTTGGGTAGCTATGCCTTGACTTTAATCTGGCATAGCATTTGACACCAGTATCAGCTGAGCATGATATTTGTAACATAATAATAATAATATATTCTGAATTGTAAAAATAATGAAAAGTATTTGATTTTAACCCTTGGTGAACGCGCCAGCGGCAAATTGCCGCAAAATAAAAATAAAGTCTTTTGTTTGACGTTGTACTTAATTATTGCAGAAGTACATCATAGTATTCTCTTTTCATATTACATGATACAACATGTTTATGAAATTGGGCAGTTATACTAACCGTTTAGTTGTTACTGGACTTTGAATCAAGTCGTACCTCATTTGAGTTGTAACTGCCGCTACACGCCCTGCCATGTAACTAAAATATCCATATACTTTTATATTTATATATTTAACTTATTTAATAAAGTAGGTCAATATTTGCAAGTTTATTGAATAAATATATTAAATTAACACTGTCGTAAGTTTCTATAAATTTTTAAATTTATATTAGTCTATATTTTTGGAAAAATATAAGGGAAATGAAGAGCCATTCAAAGTAGCAGCAAAAACCTAGAATTTGTTTTATTTGTAGCATACACAAAAACAATAGGAAAAAATTGATTTGTCATGAATGAGTAGAAATGTTTGCAAAAAGCATAGTAATATAGTTATTATATGTGCCATTGTGAAGGTGAACATCACATGGATATATAGTAACTTTTTTTTTTATTATCTAAATATTTTATAACCAATTTGTTCATTAAAATGTCGTAAAATTAATTTTCTGGTATTTCTGATTCATATTTTTAAAACAATAATTAATTATTGACTAAAATCAAGTAATATTACATATGTAGTGTAATTGCTGCAATGCGCCCTCTCGTGAGTTCCTGAAAAGTGCATTTACCAAAGGGTTAATATATATGTAAAATCTGAATTTATAATTAATTAATTATGTATGTACATATGAAAATAAGTAAGTTTATGTTAATCTGATTAGAATATCTTCTGAAATAGGTATTTGATGTTACCCGAAAAATAACATATAAAAATTTGTCAAATTGGTATAAAGAATTAAGAGAATATAGACCAGAAATTCCTTGTTTATGTGCTGCAAATAAAATTGATGGTGAGTGATTTTCAATTTATTATTAAATCATATATATTATTTTTTATATAGGATAGTTATTTGCATCTAAGTAGAAAATAACATTGTAAATATGAAATCCAAATTGTTGAAAAGCATGGTTAAAATTAAATATGACATTTAAAATTAGCAAAGTTATTCTTACATACAAAACTATATTCATTCTTTTTATTTCATATTCTTTTAGTCACTGGTTATAATTTTAAAGTTTATCACATATTATGAAACATAATAAATATTTTGTGTTATTTACAGTTTTATAAATACAGTTGATTCCTGTTATTAGCCCAGTTGGTTAGTAGGACATGTTATGTATTAGAATAAAACATTCAAGAATGGAATACTATAATGCAAGCATAATTTACTTTGCCTACTGGCCTTGAAATGCTGCTTAGTGGCCCTGCTGGCACAGTATTTTTCTTGGAAAACTAAACAAAAGAGACAAGAGTTTAGATATTTTCAGCTTTTCCATACGCGACCTCTGTCCGGTTTCCTCTATCAGCTGTCTATCTTTTCTAGATTGTACTGTAATGATTTTCTTTTGTACAGAAATAATTTCTCATCATTAAAATGGTTTTATTGCACTCAGATGTTTGTTTTATTGATGAAAATGCATTGACATAACTCTTTAACATAACTTGTTATATTGCCTCTCAATTGCATAACTTAGTGGGATGTTTATTTTGTACTGAAAAGCTCAGGTTCTGATGCTGTGCTATTAAGTGGAATTGATTGTATATGTTTATATATATTATTGTCATTCTGGTTTTAAAATATTTTACATTTATATTAGTCCAGAACATTTTTTAATAAATCAATAATTTTTTGTATTGTAGAAAATCATTTGAAATTTTAAAAAATTTCATTAGTTTTATTTGGAAAATTATTTTCATGAGTTTTCAAATTATATTATATAAATGAATTTTGCAAATTGAATGAAATTAGAAATGATTTGAAACTTGTTAACATTTTAATTTCTAAGAAAAGATCTTAACACATGAAAATCTTCATGAACTGTCAAAATTTAATGTTATATTAATAAAAAGTTTTCATAGGTGACTCTTAATATTATAAGATAAGAAACTCTGACTTTATAAATATTTTTTTAAGTATTTAAAAAAAAATCTAATAAAAATTAAATTTTACTCTATAAATCAACAATATACTTATGAAATTCAGAATTTACCTTTATACAGTCGGCTCCCCTATAACACGGTAGATACATTCCGAGTTTTATGAGTCCAGCCAATCACAGCCCAGCACATATGCAGTTTACGGACTACGGCTGTTTGAAAGGTTTCTTCCATAAAATTAATCGATTCTAGACTAATTCGACTCAACATTTCCAAAATACGTATAATTTTTTGGGAATAATCCATATAAACTATGCTACAAACAAAAAATTGTAGGATTACTTAACGAGTGTTCACCATTCGACTACGCTGTTGCTTAAGCTTGGTTTTGTTGTAGAGATTGTCATCGAATGGCGCTTGCGTGCTTCCTGATAAATTATTTTTTTTTTTTAAATTCGCTGAACTGTGGAGACATCATTAATATAAATATAATTTTTATGGACGTTAAATAATAAATGGTTTTTAGTAGGTCCGCTGCTCNTAGATAATTTATGTAGATAAGAAAAATAAGACATTCAGATAAATTTTGATATATCACATTTATCTATTATGTAGCTGAAATTTATTCAGATTTTTGTATCTCAGCAATTAATAGATACAAATCGATTTGATTAAATTATATTAGAGATTTTTGCTTATTACACTACTTCTAATAGATTAGAGAAAATCAGAAACTCAAAAGATAGCATGAAGTTCTGTAATTTATAATTATAATATAAATAAAATTTTAAAAAATAATATCATTGCATCAGTATATAGATTATGTTAATGATGATTTTTTTTATAATTTTTATATTTATATTAAGCTACATTTACCTACTAGAAGTTTTGGTTGAATTTTATCATTTATACATTTATAATTCTAAATTATAAAATTAAAGTTTCAAGAAAAGTTCTATTTTAAATAACTTTAAAGTTTACTACCTAGATTTTTAAATATAAGTCTTCTAGATATGCTTCTGAATTTTTCAAATGCCACTTAGCAAAGAGACAGTCCTAAAAAAAAAATACTTAAATAAAATGAAGATTTAAAAAACTATTTGAATTTTTTAATCAAAACAACATGACTAATATTCATTCAACATGTAAATGCAATGCATGATATCTATATCATGCATTGCATTTACATGTTGAATGAATATCATCTAGTCTATCATTTGCCACTGTAATGGATAGAATTTTATTGAATTTTAAGTTTATAATTAGGCAGATTTATTTTAAGTCGCTTCTTCTTGGGTTTGTTCAGTGAAGTGTTAGTTATCCGAACATGTGTTCGTTGTCCGATCATAAAAATCTTTCGTGAAAGTGTTCGTTATCCAATTTGTTCCTTAATCGATTACCCACTGTATGTTTATATAGGATAAAGAATAGATATATGAAGAGACTGAAAAATTTCAAGTACTGGTATTCCTTATATTTAGGGGTTAAAACGGAAATTTTTTCAAATGACAGATATTTTCCTGGGTATGTGAGAAATCCGTTGTTCACGATATAACAGATTCTCAGAACAACAGATGACTTTTGGCAGCCTGAATGATCTGTTAAAATGAGATTCTTCCAAACTTGGCCAGATGAATGGGCTTTAAAAATTACAAATACAAGTACAGATTTTTATGTCATTACAAATCTACATAAAGACCTGAGAATTTACGTAAAGCATTTATGCATGCTTTAAATAATTCAGAAATTTTAAAATATAGTTTATTTTGAAATGTATCTGACATGTGACTAAATTTAATTTTAATTAAATGATATGAATAAAATCAAGATTAAAATTTTTATTGTAGAAAAACTTAATGTGTTAGTTACATTAATTTTTAAAAAACAATAAGAGTAACAATAAACAGTATTTGCAGCTTAGAATATAATTAAATATTTTTAAGAATATAAATATCAAGTGATCTTCATTTTGCTTACTTAATAGTAGCATTAATTTATACATACAGTGAGCAAAAACATTGTTCATAAAGCAGGAAAATTTCATTTTCCCAAGTCAATTTTAAAAAATCTGATTACATAACACAGTAAAAAATTAAGTCAAAATAGGGAATTAGTCAAAATGATCTTTATTTCTTCTCCAAAAATTATAATTACAATTATAAGCAAATGTAAGAAAAAAATAAAATGTAAAATAATGAAAAAATTTTGCAACATTAAGCATTACAATTATTAAATTTAATATTTTATGGAGCCTTCTTTGCTTTCAGTTATGGTCAGACATCATTTTGACATTGATGCCACCAGCTTTTCATAAAAATATAAATAAAAATAATTAAATTCTATTAAAAAAATTTAAAGAAACTTTTAGTTTATTCTGAGCTGAAATTCAAATCAAATGTTTTAACTGCTTCTATTGATAAAAATATCCAAACATTTTAATTGTAATGCCATCTCAGACCAATATAGCAACACACAAACTATATACAGGAAACAATACAAATGAAGTTAGGCAAAGACAGTCATTAGAAACTTTATTTTAACATTACTTAAACGTATAGAAACTTACAAATGCTGAAAATGGTGTCCTTATTCATCTATTCCTCTTTATATGCTCCTAATCATGTTCAGACTGATCTTATGTAAAATACTGATTGGTGAATTGCTTTTTTGTCCTTATGTTACAATATGATATAATCTCTGGTTGCTATTTATACTGAACAAAATATGACGTATGTGAAAAATCCCAAAAATAAAGTTATCCATGCATCAGCAACAAAATAGAATGTTCTTTTTATATGCTTGTATACACACCAAATCGTAACAAATATGGTTGAAGAGGGACAGACAACCTGTCCGAAATGCATACCGTTGTCATAATAAACCTGTGTCTACAGACTTCTGTGTGATTATTCTGACTACATCAATAGTGTATGATAAGTCTTCCCTAGAGCCAAGACATAGTGCTCATAGTTTCGTAAAATACTGATGTCAATAGCCTCAATGCTTCTGCAAATGCTTTCCTTCACTTTGCATATAATTCTGGGATTGATCTCATGCACTTTTCATTTTAAATATTCTCTATAAAATTTACAGTAGTAATGTTTAATTTTTAAACATTTTATTGTTTCCAGTATTGTTTCCAGAAATTATATAGGAAATTTTTAAAATTTCCTATATAATTTCTGGAAACAATACTGGAAACAATAAAATGTTTAAAAATTAAACATTACTACTTTAAATTTTATAGAGAATATTTAAAATGAAAAGTGCATGAGATCAATCCCAGAATTATATGCAAAGTGAAGGAAAGCATTTGCAGAAGCATTGAGGCTATTGACATCAGTATTTTACGAAACTATGAGCACTATGTCTTGGCTCTAGGGAAGACTTATCATACACTATTGATGTAGTCAGAATAATCACACAGAAGTCTGTAGACACAGGTTTATTATGACAACGGTATGCATTTCGGACAGGTTGTCTGTCCCTCTTCAACCATATTTGTTACAATTTGGTGTGTATACAAGCATATAAAAAGAACATTCTATTTTGTTGCTGATGCATGGATAACTTTATTTTTGGGATTTTTCACATACGTCATATTTTGTTCAGTATAAATAGCAACCAGAGATTATATCATATTGTAACATAAGGACAAAAAAGCAATTCACCAATCAGTATTTTACATAAGATCAGTCTGAACATGATTAGGAGCATATAAAGAGGAATAGATGAATAAGGACACCATTTTCAGCATTTGTAAGTTTCTATACGTTTAAGTAATGTTAAAATAAAGTTTCTAATGACTGTCTTTGCCTAACTTCATTTGTATTGTTTCCTGTATATAGTTTGTGTGTTGCTATATTGGTCTGAGATGGCATTACAATTAAAATGTTTGGATATTTTTATCAATAGAAGCAGTTAAAACATTTGAT